GTATATGGTTCCTTCTTATTCGTAAGGAAACTCTTTGGCTTATCTAGATCACAAAATGCTGATATGACTATCATCTGATTTGTTTAAAGAAAATTGAAATGCTGATTGAAAAATTATCATAATAATATAAATAAAAAAAAACTTAATTTTAATTAAGTATTTAATTTATGTATTAATTACTTAATTAATGCATAAAATAATTAATTGTATAGAAATGCATCGCGTTTTCAAAGTATGATTCACACAGGAATGATATAAAGATGTAATAAATATATATTTTTTCATGTAATTAACTTACATCAATGGATATGTTTTCATTAGATTTATAAAAGTGTATATGAATTAATTCATAAAAAATAGCGACAAATCTACTCTTATTATTTTTAATTAATTTAATAATTAAAAAAGACAATTGTGTGATTAGTTAAGAGAAGCCTTAATGATTTTGAATGGCGTGAATTCTTTGTGTGTGTGTGTGTTATGCTTTAATTCATTTACCAAGTAAATTTTGTGTTGAAATTGCGTATAATTTGTAGTTTTTTACATATGAAAAATTTCATGAAACTGTTTATTTCAATATTGTAAATACAGCTTTTGTCATATTCCTATGAAACTACACTCATTGTATTTATCATTTTCCCATTAATTTTATAATTGTAGAATTATTATAAATAATAATGTTTTATAAGTTATATTTCTTATATTTATGTGAATACATGTGTATATATTTCAGATATTGCAAAAGTCATTGATAAAGAAGTTCTGATTTAATTGTTTCTTTCATTTTTTTAGAATAAATTATTTAAAAAATTTAAATGTATGTGTTTTGATATTTTAGTCTTTTTTATTTGTTTGTCTGCTTTTATAAAACTTTTGAATTTTTTTTTTATTTATTTTTTTTTCTATTGGTAAAGAAAAGTTAAATTGTATAAGAAAAAAGAATCTAACATATAATTAAACCTATATAAATTTTAATCGTTTAGTTTTAAAGGGGTTTCTAAAGCTTTCAAAATAAAGGGGTGTAGGGCGCGCGAAACATACTTCCTCTCCAGGTGAGAGTCTGTAGGTCAATTTATACGCAGAGCTGCATTAAATATACCTACGGTTGAAAGTGGATTAAGGACCACTACAAGCATTCATGGCACCGCTGGGACTCGAACCCGAAACCTGAGGTACCGAGTGAAAGAGCTTTAGTCACACTGCCATCAGGTCCCCAAAGTATATATACTTCATTTAAATTCCCACATGCATAAATTAAATAAATATTTTTTAGAGTTTTATTTTAAATTATTATATTATTTAATTGAATCAGAAGTAAAGGAACTTTAGGAACCATTATTACTATATTGATAACTTATCATTTTTTTTCTATGGTAAAGTAATAAAAAAAATTCTACATAATTTGAAAAGAATACGGAGAAATTCGACGCAAAAAATTCGAGAAATTTGATTCATTACGCCCAACGCTCTACAGCCATATTAGACCGGGACCTACTTTTTTAAGTGGATTCCGAACCACTACAAACATGAATGATACCGCCGGAGAGAAACCAGGGCATAGAGCGCTAGTCACTCGGCCATTAGGCCCCTAGGTTTCAGCCAGGGCCGGATTTAGATGAAAAGAGGCACTAGGCTATTCCACTTATGAAACCCTTTCACTTCCCATTTTTAAGTTTGTAAATTACTTATATGTTAGTTTATTATTCGTATGTGTAGAATTTCTCCTTATTTTCGATTCAGTGTTTTAGTGTTTACTGTTTTCAGAATAGTGTAATTCTAAATTTGCTAACAATTTGAATGTAGGCCCCTCTTGATCTTGAGGCCCTAGATTGAAGCCTAGTTAGCCTATAGGAAAATCTGGCCCTGGCTTCAGCACTTAAAAATAAATGATTCATGTGGATGCTCCACCAAACACACAAAGCTCTTTATTGGGATGTAAAGTTAACTTAGCTGTACTTCGCGGCAAATCATTCGGAGAGAGCCACTGCCTTTTGCATTTTGGATTATCACAGAGGATCCATTTTTCATCTCCAGTGATCAAACGATCAAAAACGTTTCTGTATTGTGCCGCTGAAGCAATAAGTTGGATCTGTTAGCTTTGTTTTCTTTGTACAGATTATGTGAGACTTAAACATTAGCTGTCTATACATTATCAATCTGCTGCAAATGTTCTTGGATGGTTGGCTAACAGTGTTTGACAATTCTTCAATAGTCTGACACGGATTTGCTTCAATTTCTACCCTTAACTTGTCATTGTATAAAGTTGTTGGACTTCTTGATTGATACTGATCGTAAAATTCAAAATTATTGGATCTGAACTTAGTAAATGACATTCAGCGTTTACGAACGTCTAATGCAGTTGGATAAACATCGCAAATGTTTTTGGTAGCAACTGTTGCGTTACTTTCTTTTGTGAAACTCAAAAAGCCTACTACTGTGCCCAAAAAGTAAGACCAATTATTATTATTTTATTTTTTTTTCAAAAACTCGTTATTTATTCTTTCAAATTTATTTCATCGCCTTCAAAGAAAAACCCCTTCGGACATAATGCACTTATGCCAACTTTTTTCCAATCCTCAGTGCATACTAAAAAGTCATCGGCAGGAATGGCCTTCAAAGCCGCGACAATGGCCGCGACGATTCACGTTGAATCTCTTTAATCGATTCAAAATGGTGTACCAGGAGTGGTCTTTTGAATTTAGGGAATAGCCAGAAGTCGCACGGTGTAAATACGGTGGTTGTGGAACGATATGGCTTTCATTTTTGGCGAAAAAGTCATGAAAAATCAATGCAGTGTGAGTTGGAGCATTCAGTGTTTTCGATACCAATCGAGATTTAACGCGTTTGAGTTGAACGATCCTTTTGAAATTCCAACATCATCAGCGAGGTCTCTAATTGTAAATCGACGGTTTGCAAGCACCTTTGAGCTTAATCGGTTGAGGTTGATAGTCGACCAGACGGCTCGACACGTTCTATGCCTTCTTTGAACTGTTTATACCACTTGTAAACATGTCTTTCCGATATAGGAATGCTCACCGAATGCCTTCTGCAACATTCTATAGTTTCCACACACGAATATTCATTCCGAAAACAAACTTGAATTAAAGTTCTTTGCTCAATTCATTCAGACATTTCAAAAATTGCCAAAATCACTTTTAGCGTCTCACAAAGCCAAGCGTAACTCTACTAATGAAAAAATAATCGAAATTTCATAAGCCCCGGACATTTTAAATTGAAAATCGGTCTTACTTTTTGGACACAGTAGTAGTTTGATTTTTTTAACCATACGCAAAAACATTAAATTAAATTATCGATTATTTATTTATTTTAATATTTATGAGGCTTTTTTTTTACTTATATATGCTATGAACAATCTCCAAATACGTTGGCAGACTTGCTACCGGATCTATTAGTAACCCTTAAAATTTCTTACAGACAGTTTGACTCTACTGTCGCTGCGAATTTTTTATTTTTTTTATTTGTAATTCTATAAAAACAAATAAGGGATAACATTAAACAATTATATTTCTAACTTAAAAATTCTAGATCTGTCTAGTTGTAGAATTCCGCAACATTCTTTTTACGAATGTTGCATTCTTACTGAAAGAGAACTCCCGGTTATAGTTGGCCCATTTTTTTTTTCCGTAATTGTCGCACAGCATAATAAAATGGGGCAATTATAGCACTCCCGGTAAATCAAATAATTTATTGCAACAACAAAATAAAAAAATAATTTATTGCAAAGATAAAAAATTATATACTTCCTCGAAACATGATAAAATCACCTACATTAATAAAAAATAAAAAAAATAAATTAATTGCTGCCTAACTTAAAAATTAACGACAGAAGAAGTGTTATGAAATTCTCCGGAAGGTTAGTTTAAAGCAATTTCTTTTTATAGCTGATAACAGCAACTAACAGAATTTTTTTTAAAACAATTATTCGTGCTTGTGTAGTTTTTATGGCGCATATCACTAGTAGCACATATTACTAAATTTTTTTTTATTAGTAGCACAAATTACAGAATTTAGCTATAAAACTGAAATGCTTAGAAATTAAAAGCCCTTTTCGTAATTGTTTTACGTCACCCTAAACAAAATTACCTGCAATTATTTCTGTAATTGTCATCTGTATATATATATATATATATATACCAGCAGAACCCAGCATACGTTGTCCTGCCAAAAAAAAAAAAAAAAAAAAGGCATTGTGGAAAATTACAAATCGCGCGAATATATTCTCCATGCATACTAATTTTCAAGGGTATCGTTTGAAACGGTATATACGACGAAATGCTGCAGCACCATCTGATAGCAAGTAACAATAAAATGGATACCGTGAACATATTTTCCATACTCGAATAATATATTATTATCAATTTTCATAGCTATTGATTGAACGGTATAGAATTTGATGTACTGCAGCACTATCTGGTGGCGACTTACAACAAAGGGAATAGCATAAAAACATTCTCCATGTTTTGTCAAGCACACACAAAAAATTTCATCAAAATCGGTCAAGCCGTTTAAGAGGAGTTGGGACAAACACGCGTACAGAAGAATTATATCGATTGCAACGCCACCTACCCGATCCACTTGGGAATCTAAACCATCCAGAGACCCACTCAAACACACATAACAAATTTATCAAATTAGGTCAAGCCGTTTAGGTGTAGTTCAGTGACAAACACGTGTACAGAAGAATTATGTTTGTTGTTGTTTCTTATCCCACTTGGCTGGCCAAGCCCACGAGCCCATACGTACTCATGATTGAAGGGGAAGGAAGCAGCTTCTGTTGTGATGGAGCACCCGTAGGTAGAAGTCTGACTTTGGCTCCGTGACGCTCTTACAGTCATAGGAGACCGGGACCTACGGCTTAAAGTGGATTCCGAACCACTACAAACATCCATGGCACCGCCGGGATTCGAACCCGAAACCTGTGGCACCGAGCACCAGAGCGCTAGACACTCGGCCATTCAAGTCCCAAATTTGTGAATGCCAACGGCACGCGGTGTTCCCAAGTGGTCACCCACCCAAGTACTGACCGCGCCCAATGATGCTGGACTTCGGTGATCTAACGAGAACTACTAGCCATATATATTTATTTAGTATATATTATACTAGCCATATAAATTTATTTAGTATATATATATATATATATATATATATACATATAACTTTTATGTATCTAACCAAAGTATTGTAATTCTGACGAACAACACCTACAACAAAAAGTTAACCGTAGAAGTTTTTTTTTTATCATGTTTGATCATCAAATGCTTAAAACACGAGATAGTGTTTGAAGGATTCTTGCAAAAGATATTGTCATCAACTTCAAAATCTAATTTTACATGACTTATGTTTAAGTTCGTCACCAAAAACCGCAACAACATATTCTAAACTATAACCAGTTAAGAAAATTAAAAAAACAAATAAATAATTAAATATATATAGCTTTTATTTAATTATTATGTATAAATATCTTTTATGTACCTAACCAAAGTATTTTAATTCCGGCGTACAACAACAATAACAAAAAGTTAACCGTAGAAGGTTTTTTTTTATTTTTTTTTATCATATTTGATCATCAAATGGTTAAAACAGAATGAGATAGCATTTGAAGGATTCTTACAAGAGATATTGACATCAACTACAAAACCTCAAAATCTAATCGTACATGATCATGGTTAAGTTCATCATCGAAAGCGTTAGGTTCCTCACAACATATTCTAAACTGCAACCATGTAGTAAAATTAAACAAAACAAAAAAAATTTAAATAAATAAAAATTAAAAAAAAAAACGAGAAATTATCTATTCACAATCAACAGAAATTTCCACCCTAAATTGAAAATCATCATTAAATTCCAAGTATATATAAAACCACCTGCAACTTCAAATTACAATAATTCTGCATTGATAACTCCTTAACTGCGACCGCATAAACAACATCCGGTAGATTAAAATAACAATAATAAACAAAAAAAACAAAAAATGGCATCTTTGTACTTAAAGAAGAAATTAATCCCCCTCTCTCCTTTGTATGTATACTAACCCATGACAGTTCCAATAAATAAAATATTAAAATAAGCAAGTAATATATAAAAAAAAAATTTTTTAAAGTTAATTCCTACTTTTTTTCACTCTATTGCAGAAAGTCCTTTATAAATAATTTTCATTCATTTTTTTAAGTTTATCTGGCATGTATTGGTAGATATATGCAACTTAAATCTAAAAGAAACTGAAATTAATGAATTAAATTTAATAACTGAATTAATATTTGAAAAAACAGTATATTAACATCCAGTGTCATCCACTATAAGATCAAAAAACAAAAAAAAAAAAAAAATGTACTTGAAGTTGAGCGTATGAATAAAAATAATTTTATGAACGATTGAATATTTGAACAAGATATATATAGGGAGAGTGTGAGCTAATAGATGGAATTGAAAACAAATAAATAATTAAATAAAAAGTATATATATATATATATATTATTATTATATATATGTTTTTTTAAGTATCCAACCAAAGTATTTTAATTCTGGCGAACAACAACAAAAAATTAACCGTAGAAGGGTTTTTTTTTATATAATATTTAATCATCAAATGGTTAAAACACAATGAGATAGCATTTGAAGGATTTTTACAAGAGATATTGACATCAACCTCAAAACCTCAAAATCTAATTGTACATGATCATGGTTAAGTTCATCATCGAAAACGTTAGGTTCCTCACAACATATTCTAAACTGCAACCGTGTAGTAAAATAATAATAAAAAAAACAATTAAATAAATAAAAAACTAAAAAAAAAAACTAAAAAAACTGAGAAATTATCTACTCACAGAGAACAGAAATTTCCACCTTAAATTGAAAATCATCAGCTTCTGATTCCAAAGTATATAGAAAACCACCTGCAACCACAAATTACAATAATTCTGCATTGATAACTCCTTAACTGCGACCGCATAAGCAACATCCGGTGGATTAAAATAACAATAACAAACAAAAAAAAAAAAATGGCATCTTTGTACTTCAAGAAGAAATTAATCCCCCCTCTGCCTTTTGTATGTATGTTACTAACCCATGACAGTTCCAATAAATAAAATAAAAAATGCATGCATGCAATCCAGAAGGGATTTCTCTTCATTATTCTATTTAGTCATCAAAGGGTTAAAAGATGGGGGGAGGAAGGGTGGTCGCAAACGATATTGGTATTAGCACGAGAAGAATCGGAGGCCGATAATTAACTCCACTTGTGTTACTTGAGAGGGGAGTAGGGTGGGCCCTACCTACAGGGAAGGGTCCTTCCGGGGTGGAGGTAAGGGGGCAGGGCCATTAGAGGAAGGTCAGAAGATCGTCTGCGCCCGAGGGGGACCACCGGCGGAGAAGCGACGGCAACGTTTCAATCTTACCGGGTCTTGACAGAAGATACCGATAAAAGCATTTGTTCTTTTCTACCTGAAGGAGGTAAGGGGAAGTTGACTTTAGAACTTGGTGTGCTTTTTTTTATTTAATGAAGGGCAGACGATTATTGCGTAATGTACTGGTTATGGAAAAGATTCAATTTATGGAAACATGCTTTTATTTATTTTTGTCTTTCTGCTTTTTATGAATACTTGGAATATAAATTATCGAGTTAATAAATGTTTTCATAATTTTTTTTATAATATCTTTTTTATATTTATTATTATTATTATTATTAATATTATTATACTTGTGTTTTTTATTTAAAGAAGGGCAGATTATTATTGCTAATTTACTGGTTATAAAAAATTCAGTATATGGAAATATTTTTTTTTTTTTTCTTTTCTTTTTTTAAATACTTGGAAAATAAATTCTCAAGTTAGCAGATATTCTCATAATTTTTTTTATTATCTTTTATATATCTATATAGCAAACATTTTCATAATTTTTTATACTACTTTTTTATATTCATACTATTTTCTTATTATTATTAGACTCGTGTTTTTTATTTAATGAAGGGCAGATGATTATTGCGTACTATGCTGGCTATAGAAAAATTCAGTTTACGGAAAGATTTGAAAAAAATTTTTTTTTTTTTTTCTTTTTTAAATACTTAGAAAATAAATTCTCGAATTAGTAAACATTTTCATAATTTTTTTTATATTATCTTTTTTATATTTATATATTTTTTTTATTATTAGACTTGTGTTTTTTATTTAATGAAGGGCAGATCATTATTACGTACTATGCTGGTTATAGAAAGATTTAGTTTATGGAATGATTTTTTTTCCTAAATATTTGGAAAATAAATTTTCGAATAAGCAAACAATTTTATGATTTTTTTTTTAGATTATCTTTTTTATATTTATTTATTTTTTTAGACTTGTGTTTCTTATTTAATGAAGGGCAGACGATTATTGCATAATTTACTGGTTATAGAAAGATTTAGTTTATGGAAATATTTTTTTCCTCTTTTCCATTTTTTTAAATACTTGGAAAATAAATTCTTGATTTGTAAATATTTTCATAATTTTTTATATTACCTTTTTTATATTTATATAAATTGTTATTATTAGACTTGTGTTTTTATTTAATGAAGGGCTAACGATTATTTCCTAATATGCTAATTATAGAAAAATTCAGTTTATGGAAATATTTTTTTTTTTTTTTCCTAAATACTTGAAAAATAAATCCTCGAGTTAGTAAACATTTACATAAATTTTTTTATTATCTTTTTTTTTATATTAGCTTTTTTATATTTATAGAATCTTCTTTATTTAATGAAGGGCAGATAATTATTGCGTAATATACAGGTAATGGAAAAATTCAATTTAAGAAAAAGATTATTTTATTTATTTATTTATTTTTCTAAATACTAGGAAAATAAATTCTCGAGTTAGCAAACATTGTCATAACTTTTTTTTTATTTTTACTTTTGTGTTCATGAAAATAATTTGGATTTGGAAAAAATTTGAAATAGAATTTATTTATTTATTTCCAAATCTTTTATCGAAACTTATTTTTATTTCATTTTCATTATCAAACAACAATTTCTATTTACTCTAGTAGAAATTTTCTTATAATAAAATTCCTACGTGAAACAAATTTTCTATAAAAACTATTGCACATCTTTGAAAAAAAATTGTCGTTTAATAAACTTGAAATCACAAGAAAAAAAATCATTATAGCTATTTAATGTTTTATTTAAATAAAAATTCTTTTTTAAAAGATTAAAACATTTCATTATTTAGGGGAAAAAATTGTAATACATATTTCAAAAATTTTATATTTGATAAACATTTATTTGTTTCTAGATATGTTATGTTTGAATAATTTAATATATTATTCATGATTTTTCCAAAAATAAATACATTTATCATTATATAAGTGTGTCCTTTATTTTAAAATAATAAATGAATAAATAAAAATAAAAACCCGTCTCGTTAATAAAAATAAATAGTTAAATAAAAAATAATTCCTGATGTAAGTTCTAAGGTTAAAAATGGTTTAATATTCATTATAATGCCCAATTTTAATTAAAACAATGGAGTAATTTTTAAAAACATGTAAAAATAACTGAGAAAAATTTCTTTTATTTTAATTCAAAATTTTTTTAGGGATACTAATATTTATAACATTTTCATGTTATCTATTAAATTTTAATCTCTGAGCTTCACAATTTTATCAAGTAGTGTTGATTTTATTAATATTGCAAAAAACATATTCTATTGTCAAGGAATTCTATTGTCATTGAATGAATTCCTGCAAACATATAGCGAAAAAAGCACGAAATTCATTTACATTAATATTTATAAGTTAAAATGTACTTATATCGTTACTAACATATGTTTTCATAAATATTCCAAAATTTTGAATATTAATATCATTTACAAATTACATTAATGAAGAATTTTTTTAAATATTTGATGGAATAGATGTTCTATTTATTAGATTTAACTGCTGTTGAATAAATTCCAGGAAAAATATACCGAAAAAGGACAAATCTGTCCGCACTTATATTTATATATAGAAGAGATGTCATTATTTATATATATAATGACATCAAAATTTTGAATATAAATATAATTTACGAATTCCATGAACAGATATTTATTTTT